TGCACGCACACATACAAAGAGCATAAGCGGCGTGAACCGACCGTCTCTGTTGACTGCCTCTCTGCGAATGAAATGAAATTCGCTCACAGAGAGCACGAATGCGACAGCTCCCAGTCGGCTCATAGCCGAAGTGCGACAGCTCCCATTCGGCAAATACCCGAACAGCTATGGGAGCTGTCGCTAACAATTTCGATGGGACGTTTTCGTTGTATGAAATGACGCATCTATATGTTGTATGGTTAGTGGTACAGCTTACAAGAAAAATTATCGATAGTGCATTCGATTTTATAATAAATATTAATAAATTGTTTTAAAAAGTTTAACACACGCTGCGAGCTACAAATATACTGTGGACCTTTTGTTAGTTGTTAATAAAGCTTTCAAGAAAAACTATCTACAACTATCAATAGTGGACGGCTACCATCGATGGTAGTTCGATAGTGCTGATAGTACCATCGATAGTTATCCACCTCTTATCCCTATACCACTAAACTACTTCACAGTTCACTGGTACCGCCCTTTTCTAGAATCCTGATCATCCCGCAGTACAAAACGCATCAGGATCGACTTGAGTCTGTTCAGAAACAATTCCTCCTTCTTGCACTTTCGCGGTTTAAACTGGGATCCCAAGCTTCGTTTGCTGCCTTACTCAAGCAGACTTATCAGAAAAAAAAAAACACAAACTCGTTATTTCTCGGACTTAGGAGAATCTGGATACCGAGTTTGGTTATTCTTGCTCTTGTACTTCCTGCCTTTTACCCTTTGGGTACAGGCTATACAAATTTAATTTATTTTATTAAATTAAATATACAATATTCAATACATGCATACGTACGTAAGTGTTGATGGACAATTTCAATAGAATAAATTTACATCATCGTATCGCTGCGTATTTATACAAGGTGTTTTCCAAAGTAAAACGGGACTTAAAAAAAAAAACAGAACAAATGGTTTTTTCGGCAAAATCAATTTATTTTATTCAAAATAGTCTCCTTCTGCTTCAATACAGCTTTTTGCACGATCCAAAAGCATGTCGAACGAGTGTTTTAGCTTGTTGGCTGGTATGGCCGCCAGTATGCCGGTGCAAGACTTTTGAATGGCCTCTACGTCTGCATAACGCTTTCCTTTCATGGGCAAATTCATTTTTCCGAAAAGGTAGAAGTTGCACGGTGCCATATCAGGTGAATACGACGAGATGGTAATGGTTAAAATGTGACTTTTGGTCAAATAAACGGTTACAATCGGTTGGATTCTGAGCAATTTTGTGCGGAACAAACCGTGCACACACCTTTCGTAAGCCCAAATGTTCATTCAAAATGCGATAAATCGGTATTTAGGAGATGTTCAATTCCATTTCCATCAATTTGATGAATTCACGCACAGTTTCGATGGAATTTTCGGTGATCACGAATTTTGATTGGCCCACATGTTGATCGTCATTTATGTCCTCACGACCACTTTGAAAACGTTGAAACCACTCGTGCACTCTGCTACGGGATAGGCAATCATCGCCATAAACTTGTTCCATCAATTGAAACGTTTCGGTGAAAGTTTTACAAATTTTAAAACAAACTTTAATGTTGGCTCTTTGTTCGAAGCTTATTTTCGCACCGATAACACAAACATACTGACACTTAAAACGCAATAACTTCACTTCCAATCGATGAAATGTCACTGGACAATCGATAAAGATAGCAGATTCTAACACACCAGTCGACATATAGATAGCGCCACCAACGGGCGCTAGATTCAAAAAGTCCTGTTTACTTTGGAACTCTCCTTGTATGAGTGAAGGTATGCAGCACAAAGTTGAACCAAAGCAGCAACAACAACAACAGCTGCGGGCACCTCGGTATCGAGGTTCCCCTAAGCCCTATGTATATCGAGTTTGTTCCTTCTATACCCTGTACCCAAAAGGTGAAAGGGTATACTAGTTTTGTGTGAACCCACAGAAGGAGGCGTGGCAGTCCCCAGAAATAATATATAATTGATCAGGATGACAAGTCGAGTCGATATAGCCATGCCCGTCTGTCCGTCCGTCCATCTGTATGAATGCAACGATCTCAGAAAGTATAAAAGTTAGAACAACCAAACTTGGTATCCAGCTTCTCCTAAAACCGATAAAGTACGAGTTTGAGTTTTTTTTCGATGCACCCTCCCCTCTCCCCTGCAAATTCTGTTTTTCCTATAACCCCCGTAATTTTTGGAATTTGGAACTAAAGATTGGTTATTACATCTAGTTAGTTATTACATCCAATTGTGAAGAAAGTTATAGCCATAAATAAAACCGCGGCCCATGCTCTATACGCAGCTATTGTTGTTGTTGCTGGTTTGACTTATTCCTGTACTGAAAGTGTTCATAAACATGTCTTGACTTTTGTATGTATGTATGTATCTATTGAATATTTTTATTTAATTTAATCAATTTAATTTTTTTTCAATAATTTTTTTTTTATTAATTTTCTTTTTTTGTGGAGAGTACAAGGTATTTTACTGTCGGGTTTGATCGGCTGAAGCGTTCTCTCTAGTTTAAATTTCTATATTTATTCTACACATAGGTACACAGTATTTCAATCTCGAGACACCCGACCTTAGCTTCTCCACTTCTTTTATATATAATTTAATTAATTAATTATTTGTATTCCCTGTACCTAAAGGGTAAAAGGGTATACTAGTTTAATGCGAATGTAAGTAACACACAGAAGTAGGCGTGCCAGACCCCACAAAGTATATATATTCTTGATCAGGGTGACAGGACGAGTCGATATAGCCATGTCCGTGTGTCCGTACGAACGAGAGGATCTCGGAAAGTATAGTATAAGCGCTTGAGTAACAAAACTTGGTATCCAGATTCAGATAAGCCCGAGAAAGAACAAGTTTGTTTTTTTTCTGATGCACCCCCTCTTTCTCCCGCTATTAAGGATTATCCATAACTGCCGTAATTCTTCGAATTTTTAACTCAATTTTGGCAATTACCTCCAATAATTAATTATAGGCCCGTATGCTAAGTTTCATTAATATAGGCCGATTTGACAGGAAATAATAGCCATAGCTACCAGCAGCTGTTGTTGTTGTTGCTGATTTGCACAGGCACACAAGACACACACAAAAACGCACACTATTTTAGTGTGAAGTTAGAAACCCTTTAACTGAGTTCTTTACTCATTTTCTATTTTCTTAATTTTTTAATTTAATAATTTGTTATACTTTGAACATAAGTTCGGGACATGTGTACAAACAAAAATCTTCGATATTTTAAAATGATTGTAATTTTTCCTTAAACTTTATAAAATGACAGTTTAAATTCAGTTTAGTAATATTCAAGAAATTATAAGAATCTTTTTTAAAAATTAAATGAAAATTTTTCCGAACGAAATAATTGAACTGATCAAATTCAAAAAACTATATTTATATCTCGATATACTTGTGTTTTTAGCGTTAATTGTTTAGATATGTCCTCCATTACTATTAATTACTCTTAACATGCGATTTGGCATTGAACTAACCAAGTTTTGAAGAAATGATCCGTCCAATTTGGCCCACTCTGTTACGATTGCTTCTTTTAATTCTTTCAAGGATCTAAATTGTCTGCCATGCATGTAAACCTTACTGGAAAGGATTCCCCAAAGGTTCTCTATGGGATTAAGATCTGGACTTTTTGCAGGCCACATCAAAAATGGTATTTTTTTATCCTCAAAAAATTGTTTTGTGCGTTTTGAGGCATGGATTGGAGCATTGTCCTGCTGGAATGTCCAATAATCTCCACACATTTCTTCTCCAAAATTAATCAGATTTTCGTCCAAAAGCTCTACATAGTTTTCGAAGTTCATTTTATGTGAGACAAAGCATATAGGACTCTTTCCAGCAAAGCAAAATGCAGCCCACACCATTAGCGATCCTCCTTGAAAATTGCGCGACACTTTCATTTGTTTGGGGTTCCTGAGGTCGTGATAATAATATTGATACCCATCTGGTCCTTCTAAATTAAATTTTTTTTCATCACTGAAAATAATTTTTTTCCACTCCAGGTCCCAAAACTTATGCATCTCTGCATAGTGCATGCGGGAAACTTTGTGCCGAGGAAGTAGTTCACATTTGACGGTTTTTTTTTCATGCGACGTTTTGACACTGAGAGATCCAGTTCCTGACAAATTTCGCCTGCGCTCAGGTTTTCTTTGAGTGCTAACGATTTTATTCTCCTCTTATCGCGATTTTGTACCAATGGCGGGCGACCGGAGCGTGGCTTTTTTCCGTGGTGTTCGGGGTCTTTCAAAAACTTTTGTATAGTAAAAAAGCTTCTTTGTATTTTGGAAGCAATTTCACGTAAGGGCATTCCAGTTTCTCGATATGCTAATATTTTAGCTCTTTCTTTATCAGATAGGTAACGGCTTTGATGCATTTCTACTAAAATTATGGTTAATTATAATCTGATCTAATATTCTAAGCCTGGATTAAAGTCAAAACTCACTTATTTAATTTTTTTAATTATAAATCCCAAAATTTTGATGAAAATGGCCCTTGAATGCACTGGTACAATGACAAAAACTGATTTGATCAGCTCAATTATTTCGTTGTGTAAAGAGAGACAGCAGCAATTTTCGATAGAAATAACGGTAGTAATAACGGATTTCTGCTTCTCCTTACTGTTTTAAGCAAGAGAATTAGATGAAAGCAAACTATGCAAAAAATGAAGTGGAAAACATAAATGGTAAATCTGTGGCATTCCGTTATAAGCATGATAAGGTGACTTATTTCGCAGACCTTACGTTGCCCACGAAAATTGAAAAGTCACCTTACTTTTTGTACGGGAAAATTCAAAGTCGGGACAGTCGACTTCATCTTCTTCACTTGTGTTGTTTGTTTATGGGAGTGGGTGTTTAACTGTTTTATTTTCATTGTCTCACATTGGTACTGTGGTAACTAAAGAAAAAACTTTGGGTTTCAAAATTTAAAATACTTTTCATTTAATTCTAACTTAAATTGTTAAATAAAGTACTTACATATTCATACAGGTCAATTATAAAGACTCCTCTTTCATTTATAGCAATTAGTATATCTATGTCTTTATGATTGACTAAACTCATAATACCACTTATGGGTTGTTCCAGTTGTCCATGGAAATATGCAGCTCTGGAAATCGAAAAGTAACAATGAAATACAAAATAATATTACAGTTGCACAATCTCTTGACCCTTTTGTACACACAATTTCACACAATTCCTAAAAAAAATTTTGATAATTTGGAAGGGTATATTGCTGAAATTATTATACTGTGTACATAAAATCTACAAGAGTATATTAGGTTTGCGGGAGCTGAAAAATGTAAGAGGCAGAAGGAGGCGTGACAGACCCCACATAGTATATATATTCTTGATCAGCATGACGAGACGAGTCGATCTAGCCCTGTCTGTCCGTCTGTCCGTCCGTATGAACACCTGGATCTCAGAGACTATAAGAGATAGAGACACCAAATTTTGCACAAAGATGCCTTATGTGTGTATTCTATACGAGTTTGTTTTATTTTTTTGATTTCCCCCCCCCCCCCCCCACTTCCCCCCTATGGGGGTTTTCCCGATTTTCCATTCGTATAATCGCCTATAAGACCTAGGAACACCAAATTTTAGTCCCAGATGCCTTATGTGAATACGCAGAAAATGTATATTTTGGAATTACCTTCCCTCTCCCCCGAAAATCGCGATTTCCTCTAACTCCCGTAATTCTTGGAATTTCGAACTCAGATTTTGCAAATACCCCCAGTTTATGTGTCCGTATGCCAACTTTCTCTATGATAGACCGATTTAACAAGAAGTTATAGCCTTAAATATATTTGCTGCTGCAGCGCTGCTTAAGCGCTGCCCGCGGCTGTTGTTGATGCTGGTGCTTTGTTTGACTGCACACATGTTTACACAGACACGAATAGATGCGCATAGGCATACATACACTCACACATACGCAATTGCTATGTAAATGTCGACTTGGCGATAGTTAGAGAGCCTTAGAAAGTGGAAAGTGACCGTAACACACATAGTGGATGTGCTTTTCCCAAGCAGGCCAAACGTCACATCACGTGCGGCCCAGTATGGATCTGAAGGCCCGCCTTTCCCCACAGAGTTGGTTTCGGTTACAACCGAGGAGGTACTAGCAATCGCCCGCAGCCTTAAGCCGTCTAAAGCACCTGGCCCAGATTGCATCCCGAACCGAGCCCTATGACTGGCCATGACACTTCACCCAGTAGCCTCGTGGAGCTGTACAACCAGTGTCTCAGGGAAGGAGTATTCCCGGATAGGTGGAAGCGGCAGAAGCTTCTCTTACTGCCAAAGCCTTGAAAGCCCCGGCAGAAGCGTCGTCGTGCCTATTGGACTCATTGGGAAAGGCGCTGGAGAAAATCATAAGCAGCAGGCTGAGCTTGGCCCTGGAGAGTGCCGGCGGACTATCTCCTAACTAGTTTGGGTTTCGTAAGGCGAGGTCAACGGTGGATGCCATTAATCAAGTAGTGGGCATCGCTACTGAGGCCATAGAGGGATCGCGCTGGATGGGTGGCTCCAAAATCTTGATGGCGCTAAGAAGTTTTTCCGTCCCGGAGTATATACTTGCAATTGTACGAAACTACTTTGATGGCAGAACTATTGAATACAGCACAGATGAGGGCATACGCTCACACGACATCTCACTAGGAGTGCCCCAGGGTTCCGTTCTGGGATCGTCCTGCCAAGTGACGTGCATAGGAGTTGCAAAGGAGCTGCGCGAGGTAGAGGCGTCCAGCTGTGCTATAGAGCAGGTCGCTGCCTGGCTAACCTCGGCTGGCCTGGAGCTCGCACCACATAAGACCAAGGCAGTTCTGATAAGCAGCCGAAAAAGAGTGGAAACCGCCCGGATACTCGTTGGCAGTACAGCAGTGAAGTCCAAAAGGGCCTTAAAATACCTTGGCGTAATGTTGGATACCAGACTATGCTTTCGTGAGCACCTAGAGTATGCTAACAGAAAAGCAGCCGAGTCTGGACGAGCGCTGGCACGGATAATGCTAAACACCAGAGGTCCAAAACAAAACCGCAGAGCACTGCTCACAAGAGTAACGAGCTCGACGCTGCTCCAGTCTGGGCCCACGCCATGGAGAAGGGGTCCTACAGACGTGGCCCTGATGCCACATACCGTCTAAGCTCAATACGGATCTGCAGCGGGTTCAGGACGATTTCGGATGAAGTAGCACTCGTGTTGGCACGCATGCTACCGTTGGCGGAGCTAACACGCGAGGCGAAGGTGAGGTACGAAGGTGCGCGTGTTGCAGTGGCTGATGCCACACCAGCAGCCGTGTTGCGTCAGGATGCAAGGAGTCGCAGTGTAGATGGGATACCACGAGCAAAGGTCGACGGACGTACCGTCTGATCCCCAACATAATGACGTGGATAAGGCGCAAACACGGTGAGCTAAATTTCCACCTAACTTAGCTACTGAGTGGGCACGGTTGCTTTCGTAGCTACCTGCATCGGTTCGGCCACGACTCTGTGACGGAGTGCTCCCACTGTGGAAACGGCGTTGTAGAAGACGCTGAGCACGTATTGTTTTTCTGCCCCAGGCTTAGATGCATCCGTGAGGTGCTGGAAAAAGGCCGTGGGCTCTAACATTTCGGCGAACAACATTGTGGACCTGATGCTCAATAGCCATCAAGGTTGGGACGCTACCAGTAGCTTCGCTGATAGTGCAATGTGCGATCTTACGCGATTAGAGAGAGGCAGAGCAGCTGATTTAGTGCAGTAGACTTAAAAAGAGGCCAGGACTTGTGCGATGCATTGCTTAGCGGCCGTCCCGCACGAGAAAGTGACCTCTCTTTTTTGTTCAAGTCTACTTAGTATAAGTTATTATGTATATATGTAAAATACATTACATGTAATCAATAAACAGAATATAAAACAAGATAGAACGCTACAGTCGAGCAAGCCCGACAGTAAAATAGCCTATACTCTCCACAAAAAAAGAAAAATTAAAAAAAAAAAAATTTAAAAAAATTAAATTATTAAAAACAAGATAGAACGCTACAGTCGAGCAAGCCCGACAGTAAAATAGCCTGTACTCTCCACAAAAAAGAAAAATTAAAAAAAAAAAAATTTATAAATAAATAAAATTATTTAAAAAAATGAATGAATTAATTAATTAAAATAATTAATTAAATTAAATTAGAATACATGTTTATGTTCAGTTTAAACAGCATACATTTACATCACGTACCTATGCGTGTTTATATGCGTGTATGTATGCAGCACAAAGTTGAACAAAAGCAGCAACAACAACAACAGCTGCGGGCAGCGCTGCCGACAGAGCTGCAGGCAGCGCATGAGCAGCGATTTTACTTATGGCTATAACTTTCTTCAGAATTGACCTATCATGATGAAATTTGGCACACGGACACATTAGTACTAACTGGATGTACCTACCAAATTAAATTTAAATTCCGAGAATTACGGAAGTTATAAGAAACAAGAGAGAACGCTACAGTCGAGCAAGCCCGACAGTGTAATACCCTGTACCCAGGTAAACTTCCGTCACTGAGTTATATGCACCCATAGCAGCAAAAAGAGGAAGAAGAAGAGCGAACTTGTTGCTGCAGTTTGGGGGGGTTGTACTGGCGAGAATTTGTTTCGCTAATAACTTTTCTTAGAATTGACCGAATTGAATAAAATTTTGAACAACAGTAGACAATTATATATAAATTATGTGTGCAAAGTTTGGTTTAGGTAGCATTTGAAATGTGGACGCTATTGACGAAATTCTGTAGCGGGGGAAGGGGGGGAAAATTAAAAAAAAAAAAAATAAACTCGTCCTTACTCGGACCTAGGAGAATCTGGATGCCAAGTTTGGTTATTCTAGCTTTTATAGTTTCTGAGATCCTCGCGTTCATCCAGACGGACAGACGGACGGACAGACGGACAGACGGACGGACATGTCTAGATCGATTTCTCTCGTCATGCTGATCAAGAATATATATACTTTATGGGGTCGGAGATGCTTCCTTCTGTATGTTACATACTTTGCACAAACCTAATATACCCTTTTTACCCTACGGGTACAGGGTATAAAAATACGAATTGCGGGGGAGTGGGGGGGTGTATCAGAAAAAATAAACAAACTCGTTCTGCCTAGGGCTTATAGGAACCTTGATACCAATTTTGGTTATCCTAGCTCTTGTACTTACTGAGATCCTTGCGCTCATACAGACAGACGGACAGACGGTCAGACGGACAGACGGACATGGCTATATCGACTCGTCTTCTCATCCTGATCAAGAATATATATACTTTGTGGGGTCTGCCACGCCTCCTTCTGTGTGTTACATACATGCGCACAAAACTAGTATAGCCTTTCACCCTTTGGGTACAGGCTATAAAAATGAATGAATGAATTAATTAATTAAATTAAATTAGGATACATGTTTATGTTCAGTTTTAACAGCATACATTTACATCACGTACATATGCGTGTTTATATGCGTGTATGTATGCAGCACAAAGTTGAACCAAAGCAGCAACAACAACAGTTGCGGGCAGCGCTGCCGACAGAGCTGCAGGCAGCGCATGAGCAGCGATTTTACTTATGGCTATAACTTTCTTTAGAATTGACCTATCATGATGAAATTTGGCACACGGACACATTAGTACTAACTGGATGTACCTACCAAAATTGATTTCAAAATTCCGAGAATTACGGAAGTTATAAGAAAAAACACGAATTGCGGGGGAGTGGGGGGTGTATCAGAAAAAATAAACAAACTCGATCTGCCTAGGGCTTATAGGAACCTTGATACCAATTTCCAATGGTTATCCTAGCTCTTGTACTTACTGAGATCCTTGCGCTCATACAGACAGACGGACAGACAGACGGACAGACAGACAGACGGACATGGCTATATCGACTCGTCTTCTCATCCTGATCAAGAATATATATACTTTGTGCCACGCCTCCTTCTGTGTCTTACATACATGCGCACAAAACTAGTATAGCCTTTCACCCTTTGGGTACAGGCTATAAACAAAAAACAAAAAAAACACATAGACATGCATACGCTCACACCGACGCAATTGCTATATATATTTTTAATTTTTTAATTTCTATAGTTATTTTAACCATATGTACAGAGT